CACTATCGTGGCTGACGTGAAAAATCATGCCCTCAAACCCTAGAGAGAAAGTATGGCAGCTCGGCACGGTCTGGGTTGAGCCCTCGGAATAATTATCGGGGGTTTTGTCTAGAATGTTGTGGAGAGACTCAGTCGGAAGATCGGAATCATCCGAAAGCTGGTGAATAGCCACCATATTGACCGCGGGCATAGGTTGACCGGAGTCAGTTGGGTCGATCATGTAGAGATTGGTGGCATGGTCACACTCAACGTGGTCAACAAAGACTTGGTGGACGGCGTTCTGAGTACGCAGATCCAGCACCCTCTAGCCCAAAAGGATAGGGCCTCGGTGAGTTCTCTATCAGGGCCTCATAGTCAACCAAACGTAGGCCGGTAGCGGGAAGTGGTCAACACCGCGCCGTGTGCCCCTCTGGAGTAGCCGTGATCACCAGATCAGAATCTGGTTGCCTCAAACGGTGTGGTCGAGCAAGTCGCTCGGTCACAGCGACTTGGTGACATTGGAGTGCAGGAAAGTTGTTACCCGCTCTAGATCGATCTAGGACCGAATCCACGAGAAGCTGATATTCCGCTTAGGCGATCAGTGACCCGATCGATGGATGCGATCAGATCATTACTACTAATAGATCTCCTAACCCAGCGGCGGGGCACCGGGACGGAGATGTCGTTGCAGGTGTTGGTGCCGTCGGTGCAGGGTGATCCTGCACCACCTCCGTGATCCTCCCGTTGTCGTCAGGGCCGATGACCCAAGTCATGAATCCGATCGTGAAGATCCGGCTCATCTCAGGAAGGGCCATGGAGCTCGAAAAGGTAACCATCTGATTGGCCATGAATTCAGCACGCACACCCTCTACCTGGCGCGCCACTGTCGATGAAATCTGATCGGCAGTCTATCGAGGGGTATGCCCACGGTAGTAGATGAATCGGTGGAGGTACGCGTGAGGAAACCGGATAGTGACACAGAACGCAAGAGACAGCGATTAGACAGGTTCCGGCCGTCGGCTTGACGTAATACTCTACGTCATGTGTCTTTGTGGATTGTATTGCGTGTGTTCAGATGAAAACGAGAGGGTCCCTACCCGTCTTATATAGCCTGAGGGTAGGATTACAGATCGGTTGTTTCTATCCTGATCGGTTTACAAGATAGAAAGTTACAGATATCACGGTAATCTAGCATATCCGAGCAGATTTTGTAGATCGCCGAGGATCATCACGTAGTCTTGCGAGGCACGTTGACTTACGCCGTACTTCACGCGGCGTCGTCTTGCACGCTGGGCCTCGACTGGCGGCGCGGCCCCTGCATGGTCTCGTGGGCTGGGCCTCCCCTAGCGGCTTGGCCCATGTGCAGCCCTGTAGGTATCGAAGGTTATACCCCCACAAGGCCCCGGAACAAAAATTCACATCAAGTACCAACGCTCATTCCTAAACAAGCACCCGTAAGAATAGAACCGCTCCATCCCTTCCTTCCTCAACCAGACACTCAAGTATTTCGAATCACGTTTTCAATCTTTGGATGGCAAACCATTAGCCGGCATGTTAGTGGGAGCCGGTCATGATCTTCGGATTTCCATTCAAGTTACCTTTTGCCACTTTTGATGACTTGGTGCAAGTTACTTTGTCACGGCAGACCTAAAATGTCATTTAATGCATAACAATCAACCTAACAAGTTCAGTTAGGGGATCACAACCTACTCAGGCTAAACCAAGGGTTTTCAATTTAGGTATTAGAACTTTTTCGGACACTTGAAATTATCAAAATCTACGTGAAATATCATCGAAAAAATTTTAGACACTTAAAAATGAAGTATAATTTTCAAAAAAAATAGATCTAAACAAAATATTAACGTATTTTATGACTATAGGTCTGCTGAGTAGAAGAATATACAACATAAGCAATAGTAAAAATATGGGCATAGATGTATAAATTTACAATAAAGCACATGTAAAGTGTAATATAAAATTTTGATTTTTTCTTTCAACACCCTCGAAATTACCCAAATTCGCTGAGATTTTGCACCTTGGGTGACATATAACATTTAATTTAATGTAGTTTTTCTAGTTCTAGGTTGTAGATATAATAACATTTAATGTAGTTTATTTATTCTACTTTCCTTAATTTAAAATCGGAATCCCTGGATAAATTTGAAAATAAATAAAAATATGTGAAAAAAAACTGGATCCTAATTGAACCTGGTATTCTTCTGGGCCTTCGGATTTGGATTAGCCTGGTCCGTCATTTTGCATGAGCAGGCCTTCCGCTTCCTCCGCCGTTTACCCTTCGCCGGTTCCGCCGCCGCCGGAACGCTATGCGGCTGCGGTCTCCGTTCCCGCGCTGCCTCGCACGCCCCTCCCCTCGTCTCCCTCCACCGCCTCCTCACCTCTTATGCCTCTGCCGCGTCCTCTTCTGGGTTCTGGCTCGCCGCCGAACCCAGGCGCTGGCGCTGCCCAACACCGCCGCGAATCTCTCCCACCTCCCGACCTCCGGGCCCGCTCCAAGCCCGACGCCGTGCTTGCTTTCGCTGAGAGCACCCTCGGCATGTTTGGTTCTTAGGTCGTGCTCCTTCGGCCTTCTCAACCTGGGTCTCGAGTCTCGACAAGGTTGACATGCCCAACTGCCCTTGCTCCGGCGATGCAACGTGAACATTTCCGAGATTGTTGGCACCCATACAGCCATACCGTGTACTCCAATCGGCCGATTCACCTTGAACTTGAACTTCAAGCGAGTGGAGGAGTTGGGATTTGAGGTGGCACGACGATGTTCCCCTGCGTGCTTGCTTTGGTTGCTTTTGCCTACAACTACAAGTTGGTTGTCACAAAAGGCATGCACCGGTGAGTTGTACTTTTTTTTTGTAGAATTACTGCCCGTCATATTATCCATTGCTATAGCCTAAAATATCACTTGACGATGTGGCTAAATGAGATTTCATCAAAGACAGTCAATCCTGATAGGCTCGTATGATATGATTTGCTAAACATATATAGGTTGAATATTTCAGAAGACTCGTAGTATTCCCGTTGCCTATTGCCCTAATCAGTTTTCTGTGAACATCTCCACTTTATCATTTTGGTAATTCATTGGTTCTGTTCCTAGAGGTCTAATGGTCACTAAAACTAGCAGCAGTATAGTGGTTCAGATACACAGTGCTGGTTAGCATCCTGTCATAATCATAATATAGTACGCAAGTAATTGTGGGGGTGAGGTGTGTAGTTAACTCATTGTGCAAGTTTCATGTTATCTTTTGTTTTTCTCTATGAATGTTATTCTACTCCGTACAATTTACTCCTAAAAATTTAGCTTCTTTCAATGGTAATCAAACAAAGTCAATATGTCAACTTTGGTCCTCCAATTCTGAATCTAGACTGATTGGTTTGAGCGCTTGTAGTCCCTTGTTCAGTTCCATTGTTACTAGGACTTGTAACATTGGGGGGAGATATATCTGAACTCTGAAGTGTTCTTGATCATGTATGAATGATTTGCACTGACTTTGGCAAGTTTAACCTCTTTTGTTACAGGAACACGATCGTAAATTTCCAGCCAGAACAGTATTTTTCTCATCTTTTCTGGTCACACTGTTAACAGCTGACTTATTATTATGCTAACTCGTAGCTTGAAAATTTGGAGAATTCCAAACAGCCAAGAACAGTAAAAGTTGCATCCCATATCAAGTTGAGTGCTCTGCTCATGCATGACCCACCCTTTTGCATTGAAATATCTTTTGTGATTGATTTCCTGAAGAAATATGAATGGTTAAAGGTGATCTTAAACGGTTTGCCAAAAAAGAGATTTTGACCTACTCTGTTCAAACACAAAGTCAAAGAGAATGTCCCGGTGCTTGTTCTGTGAAACCACAGACAGAAGTTAACAATTTTCTGCATGAAATTTCCCATAGCTTTGCACAAATAAACAAAAGCTTGTCTGGCACCTATTGCAAAAAAAAAAATCACTTTTCTATTATACCTCTGGTGTAGTTTACTTACTGTTTAGAATACCAGCACTATTTTACCACGAGGCTGTGGCCATTTTTTTACTCTGAAAATGTTTGTGTCATTGCAGTTTCTTGGTACTTTCTGCTACAATCTTTTTATTTGTAACATATCTAAGTAACTATGTATAGTAAGGTGGTCAAACATATGCTCTACATCAAACATCTATTATACACCGGTGGTAGTACCATTTAATTAGACAGAACTGGGACCAAGTGAACTGAAATATTCTCTTGGAAAAAAACATACAAGTTTCATAATCTTGCCAGTGTGGCGTGCAGGCAATAATTTTGAATATTCACTGATCAATTTCCTTTGTTGATTTTATTTGTTTATTTATGTGTTGTATCAATTCATGCATTCAAGTTTTAAAAGAACCACCTGTATAACATGAGCAGTCAGGATGTGTATATGAAGTTTACACACTTTTTGCTGCCATAAAAATTGTAGGCCACATTATCAAAATTTGAACAGGTCATTTTAGATTTAAGATTAGAGTAAAGTAGTTTGACTCGACAGAAGAAACTTTTGGAAAAATTCAAACAGCTATAATAAATTGCAAATTGACTATGTTTTTTAGTTTTGAACTCACATGTTGCAGCTTGGTCAGCAACTTGTAGGAGGGATCGAATTCATGACATGTAATCAAGTACTTGAAAAAAACAATAAGTCTGACTGTTCTAAGGAATGCTTGTTCTTCACACAATTTAGACACTTGAAAAATAAATTTCAAATGGCATAGTAGCCTGTTTGAAAGCTTGGGTTAGCAACTAAAAGTTGATTGTTTTTTCTGTACCTAAAGCTCATTCTTTTTACATGCTTTTAGACTGCAATCACTTTCATTGAATAGTCTAAACTCTAAACAGTAAGCACATGCAGGAACAGTTAACATTCTTACTCCCAAGATGTAATACACAACAGTATCAAGCCCCTGATACAAGCTATCCAGTTTGAAAGCTATTTTGACTAGGCTGTTCGAAATTTACTGGCGGATAATGTGGGACCTTATCTTCCGCAGCTCAGTGTCTGCGTTTCTCATGGATATCCTTTCTGCCCGGTGCCTGCTTAGTACACAACAGTGCCAGCCCAGTAACAGATACCAGGATGCTGTTGATTTGTCCCTGCGGACCGTTGCTGGTTCCGTTGTGCACATCAAACGCATGGTTTTCTTCTACTGCTACAATAGCAGGATCTACAATGTCCATCAGATGATCTGGGAATGCAGCCTGGACGTAGCCCTGCAAGCTCAGGCCATCTGCAAACATGTCATTGGTAGGAGCCTTTCCAGTAAACAACTCCAGGAGTAGAATTCCAAAACTGTAAACATCTCCGCATGGGGAAACTCGGTGACCTTCCCCATATTCTGCATCATAGAGGAATATATTATTTAAAATGCCATTGTTTGTCAATCTACAAATTAGCCAGGTGCTCAAGCACAAGCAGGAAGAGAATACAAGTCTGGACTAAAGTTACCTTGAGCAACATATCCAATTGTTCCTCTTATCCCGGTGCCAGTGGAGCTTCTGGAGTTCATGGTTGGGGGGTCGCCTGTTGAGTCTCTAAGAATCTTCGCAATTCCAAAATCTCCGACAAGAGCATCAAAGTCTTCATTGAGAAGGATGTTGCTCGGCTTTAAGTCGCAGTGAACTATCGGTGGCTGGCAACTATTATGCAGGTAGTCCATCGCATCACAAGTGTCAATAGCAATGTTCAATCTCTGCATTAATGTTAGACTAACTGGATCTAAAGATTGTCCACCTTGATCTGGATGTAACCACTTGTCAAGGCTCCCTTTAGTCATGTACTCTAGCACAATGCTTTGAAGTTGTTTTGCTTGGAGTCATAACCGGAGCAACAAGTGATGACACTAACCAAGTTACGATGCCGAACCTTACGAAGTTCCTCACACTCTGACATGAAGCTTCTCAAAGGGCCCGACTGTTGGAGATCAAAAACCTTCACAGCAACAATAGTTGTTGCGTCATTAATCACCAAGCTCCCCTGGTACACTGATCCATACCTCCCTGTACCAATCCGATTGCTTAGAAATCCATCTATTCCACGTACTAAATCTGCATAGGAAACTCTTGGATACACGCCATCCATCAATTGGAGATCACCTTCTACTGTCACCAGTGCAGCTTCTGATTGAGCTTTTGATTTCTTTTGCAAGGTTCTAACAAGAATTGCTAAGATCACGAATAACACCAGTGCACCTGCAACTGGAATCACGACTTTAAGAATGATATGATGCTTTCTTTGACTGTGCCACAAAGTTTTGTTTGGGCAAGCTGGCAAATGCAACTCCTGGACGCCTCCACAGAGTTCATCGTTATCAGCAAAAGAGAAGCCTGTCACATTAGTAAACACACCCTGTACTGGGATTTGGCCACTCAGTTGGTTGAAAGACACATCTAGATGGTTCAATGAGGTCATATTTCCAAAGGTCTGAGGGATTGGTCCTGAAAGGTTGTTGTGAGCAAGATACAATTCTTCTAAACCACTTATGCGGGACAACTCTTCAGGAATCTTTCCTGAGAGCATGTTATCTGTTAAATTTAGCAGTATCAAGCCACGCATTGAACTAAAGGATGTAGGGATGGCACCACTGAAGGAGTTACCATTCAATCGAAGCTTCATCATGCTTAAGCAGTTGCCAAGTGAATCAGGCAAAGGGTCAGATAAATTGTTCTCAGAGATATACAGATGTACAAGGTTTGTAAGACTTCCAACTTCTGGTGGGAGAGAACCAACGAAGTAATTATAGGACAAATAAAGATCATCTGTCAAGGATGACAGGTTGAAAATCTCTCTAGGCAAAGGGCCAGTAAACTTGTTATTGGACAAGCCAGCACCATTTAGCTGTTGCAAGTTGCCAAGGCTGGCTGGAAGTGGCCCCTCAAAGGTGTTCTTATATGCGAGCAGTATTTGTAGTTGTGTTAGGTTGCCGATTGAAGAAGGCAGATTTCCTGACAGGTTATTGTTTGAAAACTGCAAGAGTTTCAGGGCTGATAGCCTTCCAATGCTATCAGGCAAAACCCCATAAAATTGGTTGTAGTCTAGCTTCAGTGCTTGTAGGCCAGCCAAATTGCCAATATCGAGTGGTATCTTACCAGAAATCTCATTTGCTGAGAGGTACAGCAACTGAAGCTGGGATAAAAGATTGGAGACGGAACTTGGCAGCTCACCACCAAGCATGTTGTACTGGAGGCTGAGGAGACGTAGGCGGGTGCAATTTCTAAAGTATGTGATGAACTCCCAGTCCTGGGCGCTGCTTGCCTCAAGCATGTTGCCATCGAAAGTTAAGGTATCTGGACAAAGCTTTCCTATCCCTGGTGGTATGGTACCATTGAGGCTGTTAACACTGAGATCTAGCACATAGAGCATGGTTGCATTGCCAAGTGAAGATGGAACTCCTCCAGCGAAGTGGTTCATGTTCAGGAAGAGATATCTGAGCATGGGTAGGCCAGCCCCCATGTCAGATGGTAGTGTACCATGCATCGTGTTGTCAGACACCGCAAGCATTATCAGTGAGGACACATTAAGGAGATCTGGAGGGATGGTGCCTGAGATATGGTTTCCTGCCACTATGAATGACTCGAGTCCATGGATTCTACCAAAGCCCTCAGGGATGGTGCCCTCGAGGTGGTTGGTCCCAAGGTTGATTTCCCTCAGGGAAGAAGAAAGATTGGAGAGTGACTGGGGGATTGCCCCTGTGAGAGTGTTCGGCCCCAGCAGCACACCTTGGAGCTTTGACAGGCCTCCAAGCCAATCTGGGATTCCTCCCGTTAGCTGGTTCTTGCCAAGCCTGATTCTCACAAGGTTGCTGCAGTTCCTCAGGCCAGCTGAGATCTCACCCTGGAGTGAGTTGTTTGAGATGTCAAGATATTGCAGCCGGTGTAGGCGGCCAACAGTTGCAGGGATTTCACCTTGCAGCATGTTTTGGCTAAGGTCAAGGCTTGTCAGGAATGTCAAGTTGCCAACGGACGCAGGTATGGTGCCTGCAAGGGCGGCAGAGCTGAGATCAAGTGCTGAGACCCTGCCCCTGTGCCTGTGGCTGCATGTTACCCCTGGCCAGAGGCATAGGCTAGCACTAGTGTTCCAGGTGGACAACCTGCTTGATTGCTGGCCTACGATGGCCTTCAGTTCCAGCAAGGCTTCCCGGTCTGTCACTGCTGAACGGTGCTGCCGACGCCTGATTGAACAAAGTTGATGCTGGTAGGATCCCATGAAGCAACACAAGCAGCAGAAGTCTGATGGGGAACGACATGGATGCAGTGTCTTCGTTTGCTGCCATTGAGAAAGATCCAAATCAAATACTCTGCAAGTATATCAACAAGTTAGTTACTACTACTTTGTATGTATATTGATCTAATCTTCGTCAGTTGAATGTTTGTACATGCTGAATTTTTTTAAGGCACAAACACTTGATTTGAGATGGATTGTCTTTGTCAAGTTTCACATACCGCTTGATTTCAGATGGATTGTCTCCGTCTTCCTCTTGCCTGCTGTATGCCTTGTTTCTGTATCGTTCAACAAGCTAGGAGCATATTTTTCATATGAAAAGTCTGATATACTCCCAGTGCCAGAGGAAATTGTGTGTGCTTGTACTTATATTCTTCGTGCGTGCGCGTTAGACTCCAGAAATCATTGTGGATTTTTTCGTTTGGGTCGTTTGTTTGGCGTCTGATTTTTTTTTGGGTCGTTTGTATGGTCTCTGATGTCAATTGGCTTGTCCCAAAACGGTTACTGTCTCTCAATTAAGACGAAAGAAATTTTATGTACAAGAAAACGTTTAGTATGTGAAGGTGCTTTTGGAGAATCTAATAGCGATCTTTTGCAAATCAAATTGACAAGAGTCTAGTCCAGAAAATTAACAACTTATGTTTACATGCATACATGTCTTTTTAAACTGTCTTACTAGGAAATTAAGTATGCTTACAAAGGAACTAATTAATTAGTGAGGAACAAGTTAGTCTTTTTCCAGACTCCTTATTTGGTCCTAAAATTGCTTAGATACCTTGTATTTCAGATTACATGGTAAGCCTTTCTCACAAAAAAAAAGGGTTAGGAAGGAAAGTAGGAACATGGTGAGACTAGCCCAATTATCCAAGTATTCAAGTCGTGATTAGGATGAAGTGAAAGTACCAGGTCGAGCGCGACAAACGTACATGGAATTCTTCTATGCTGGACAGTTTGAGCTTGACTGAAAATATGTGGAATTCGTCTATGCCGGACAATTGAAAATTCTATCGTGTAGGTGGGGCTGAGACTTAAGATCGAGCAGCAGTCAGAGGTATGTTGCTGTCGTACTTTTGTTCAGTCCCCCTAAATTTTTTCCCTGATCTGCCGCTGAGCTCATATTACGTACACGGTACACTAGGAGTAACAGTTAGTGTGATCTTCCTAGCAATACGACAAAACATTTTCTTTCGTGCATAAAAGTCTGGCAGTTTTTGCCTTAACTTCCGAAGGTCCTTGTTTGACCATCTCGAGGCTGTCACTTGTACCAAATCTGCAATTCTGAGGAGGTTTCTGAGGAGGAAAGCCCGCGCTCTTCTCACATGGGGAGTGCCTTGTTCTCGTGGTGAGAGGAGAGAGGAGACGTTCGAAGCGAGGAGGATATTCCAAATCTAACAATTAGAGAGCGAAACTTTGATGAAAAATTATAGTGGATTATTTGCTTGTTGCCACCATGTTTTCCCTTAGAAGACGTTTCAACGTTAATCCTCAATTCCTCATGTCTACTCGTGTTTCAGCATTTCTCTTGCTATTCGAGGTGATTGGTCATCGTATAACTTGCTATTGGTGCCATTTGTTGAAGTTGTTAAGTTAAATGGTATATGCTTTAGACGGCTTATGTGAGGCTAATGTGTTTTTTTATATGTTGATAACTTGATGACGGATTAATGTTTTCATGAGCTAGTTATTGCAAATAACTTATTTAAAGGTCTCATGCAAATTTGTAGCCCTAAATGTCAAAGAGTCGGTTTTGGATATGCGAATTATATTTCGTGCTTGTTCTGGTATACTAATTAGACGTTATTTAGGAGGGCTTTTTCAGAGAAGCCGGAGCCATTTTAGAGCTTTTTTCACTGAAAAAAAGGCTCCAATCGGTTCTCCCTCTAAACCTTTTGGTAAGGCTCCTTCACAGGAGTTAGAGCTGGAGTCAGAGAGAAGTCTTACCAAATGGGGCCTTAAAACCTTCATGTTATGTTGAACAAGTTATTCTACGAAGCTCAGTGTTTATATTATTAAATAGATTTACTATAAAATATATTTTATTATTAACCTAATGATATTTATTCAACATTATAAATATTAATATTTTCTTATATAAATTTGGTTAACCTTAAATTTATCTTGAGTCATCAGAATTAATTTTTAACTTTAAATTTATCTGAGTCATCAGAATTATTTTTTAAACGGAGTATGAGTACCTATTTTTTATGAACTGTTGCTGGCACTGTCGGAGCATGCAGCAGACACTAGACAGTGTACAGTGTAGTTAACTTGTGCGGCCCAGGCACCTATAAGTTCTGCCACGTGCGACGGCAGTCCTCCTTTCTGAGCAAGAATCTTTCGGCCTTTAAATCTATGTGTAAAATTTTAAAGTGTCACATCGAAGTGTTGTATGGGGTGGTGTTCGGATACTAATAAAAAAATAAAATACAAAATCCGTCAGTAATCCGTGAGACGAATTTAGTAAGCCTAATTAATCCGTCTTTAGCACATATGTTACTGTATCACAGCATTGTCAGATCATTGATTAATTAGGCTTAAAAGATTCATCTCACAAATTAATCGTAAACTATGCAATTAGTTATTTTTTAGCCTATATTTAATACTCTATACATATGTCTTAAATAATAAGATAGAAAGTAAACTTTAGACGAACTAAACAAGACTGAAAGAGCATGCATGCAAATTTGCAATGCACAGACGGAAGGCCCAGAAGCTGTGACCACACTCCGGTCCAGCGGCTCGGCATTCATGCTCTGCTCTGCTCTGACACGGGAACCGGAACGGCCACAGCCCACAACTGGTCAAACCTACGTACTGTGCATGCGACCGATCTAGTTTGAGAACCAAATTAAGTTTGTGCCACACAGCTTAAAAAGTACTCCTATATGATGATGAACATGGACAAATTCCGTTGTCTTTTGTATGCATGGGTGGATGAACTATGGGCGATGGGGGTGCTTGTTACCGGCCACAACTGGCAGCATCCTAGGTGCGGCAGCATCGCTGTCGTGGCGCTGAAAATACACGTCACAATCTACGACGAGAATTAAACCCGTTTGAACGATAGACTTCTGTGACTGCCTACGTCTAATCGTTAACCAATTAACAATGGCGTGCCTCTCTATGGCAGGAACCTTTACAACCTTACAACAGCTTATCGCAATGGAATTGTATTTGCATTATCTACGATTTTTTTTATGAAAAAAATGGCGAAGTTAAGAATCTTGGCCAATGCTATTTTAATCCTTCTTTGAGGTTATGACCTATGTTTCCTCTCTATGAAACATTGGCTTATGATGGATGAAACAAATAAAGTGCACAATCCACGCAAGTCAGCCAAATCTAGATACATGAGCAAATGAATGGTCACAGGTTCAAATCCTTGTCAAGGCAAATTCCAGTGCCTATTTTCTTTCGTAATAAAATGTTAGCTAGATTCTCTTACATTGATCTTCTTTTTGAGCGAAGTATGGTCTTTAATATCAATGACATGTTATGGATCCTTTAGTTATAAATACTAAGCAATTTATCTAAGGGGAGAATTATCTGTGAGAAGAGAGTGTAATTGTATAGCCCACGAGCTCGCTTTAGTGAAGAATACTAGAAGAATCTAGCTCTATAGTGTTTCTCTTCATCGTCTTGTGTTGAGCAAGTTATCGCTTAGGATTGCAATGTGGTTTCTGAGTAATATATAAATAAAAGTTCTCTTTATCTAACAAAACATATTTATGGTTCCTTTAGAAATTCAACATTTTCTTGAAAATGTGGGAGCGTTGCCATACGCGAAGCACCACCACCTTGCTCAACTAGGTTAGGACATCTAACTTGGAAGTTGGACGAACTAAAGATGAAGAAAAGATAAACTATGATTATAGAACATGAGTGCACATTTTGCTTTTATAACGTAGAGAGTGATGCCAATTTGTTTCTAACATGGCATTACCCTATTTGCTTGAGAAAAAAACAATTGCCTAGCCTCTCCAATATAATAATCGCTAGGTTCAACCTTGCACCTAACGCTTCCTAAAACATTGATTTGAAAAAACAAAAAATCCTCCTATGGATTTTGTAGAATTTCATAGGTAATAACGACGGTACGTAGCAGTTGCCAGCATTTCCCCTCAACCTTTTTTTTATTAATATTTCCCCTATGTATACCATACTTATAAGCGAAATAAAGAGAACACAGAAACAAATAAAATAAATCAAACAAAAGGCGTGCGTTCGCGTAACCTTTTTACCATGCATGCATCATCGCAGTAGAATCACATGGAGTCGTGCGATTCACCCTTTCACGCGCTGCTGAGTGCCCCCACTGTCAAGGTCGCATGCCAGGACAGTGCTTGCCTACTCTCTACTCCATCTACCACTCAAACAGTCAGGACTCAACTGCCCGTGACAACAACGGTTGAAACAAAGACAGTTTTGCCCCTCCTTTTTCTTGGTATTTATTAATTGTCCAAGAAAATTTCCTCACAAAAAAGTGTTCTTTATTAAATGCTGCAAGCCTGCAACGTACTACTGGACTCGAAAAAAGTTCAAGTTATTATCTGCTGATGTATGTTGCATAAGCTAAATTCGGTGGTCTTAACTTCATACAGACCAGGTTAAATTCTTGTTACAGTTTGGAATCCTCCTATTAGTCTATTTTATCGATGGATGCTAGCTAACAACAAAGACATGTTGTCGTCTTCACAAGACACATGTTGTCATGAACTTGCTATGCTGAGATAGATACAAGTACTAGAAACCATGGTCATATTATGTTGATCTGGATGCAAACAAAATGGTGCCAGTTTTGTCTTTCAGATTAGAAGTTTGGAAGAGCTTGTATACAAGACATGGACAAAATTCGAATACTTGACTCTCAAAGTCACATTTTTTTTTGTTTGGTAAAAAACTTGTCAGCGGATCTTGTTATTCCTTGTCTCTTTTGTGAACCCATGCGAAAAGTTAAATTTGCTTGGTGTTTGCGGAAACGACAT